AAGCCCAACTTATAAATCATCTGGTTCGTCACTTGTGCTTTTGGTGCATATCTATGAAATCATTGTCTAATCCATGGTCACAAAGATTTACTCCTAGGTTTTTAAGGATTTATCTCTTATAGTTAGGTCTATTTTCCACTAAGTTAGTTTATGTGTATGGTATGAAGAAAGAGGCCTACTTCATTTTTTGTATATATATATTCTGTTGTCCCAGCACCATTTGTTGAAAATAATAGTCTTTCTTCATTGAATTGTCTTGGTACCCTTGATAACAACTCAACTGAAAATATTTAAAATATTTCTTCTGGACCTTTAATTATATTTCATTGATCGATATGTCTGTCCTCATACTGGTACCATGCTATTTTGATTGCTATAGCTTTGTACTAAGTTTTGAAATTTGGAAGTTTTGAAATTTGGAAGTATAAGTGCTTCAACTTTGTTAATCTTTTTCAAGATTGTTTTGGCTATTTGGATCCCTTGCAGTTCCATATGAATTTAGAAGCAGGTTATCAATTTCTGCAAAAGCAAACTATATTTTTATATACTTAAAAGTACTATTATAGATTAGGAACCCAAAAGCTTCACAAATCAGCCAAAAAGATTTATGTTACTAAAATATTAAGTTGACACCTTTAATTAATGTACCATGTATCCATGGTAGGATTTCTTATCACTCTGCACTTTTTATATATATTTCTATTAAGGGTGAAACTTGACATTAGAAATAGGATGTTTTGGCTGATTTGGGGATATTGGGATAATTTGTCGTGGGATGGCAGGTATGATGACAATTTTCTTTTAATGACTTCATGTTTCCATATCCTGACAATTGTCAAAGAATACGTCACTCCTGAGGGAAAATTCTGTGAAAGCAAAAAAAAAAAAAAAAGTACTAGAAGAAATATTGAGTTCTATATCACCTTATTTCATCCTGGTGGTAAACTCATAGGAAACTTGCATGTTCTATCTATCTTTCCATCTCTGTCCTTCCTAGAGTTAGAATTTACAACTGAGAAGGTTATCATGGGGATGAGTATTGACATATTTATTGAGCTGAAAAATGAAGTCTTTTTTGAGACAATACAAATATAATCTAGCCAATTGGTTTAGAAATGATGATTAGGTTTGCCAGTTAGGCTACATGACAGATATTTTTTATAAATTGCTAAATCTGCAGCTTTAAACTTTTAGTAAAATTAGTGCACTTGATATCAAACCAGGCAAAGTGGGGACCAAAGGGAGGCCTAAACTTTTTACCTATACCATGTCCACATGTATACCTAATCCTGAATTGTACCCCACATCTTTAACATAAAATAAAATATATTTTTAAAAAAATACACAGGCAAAAAAATTTTTTTTGGAAAATTATATTTAAAGCACATGATAAAATAAAAGCATCTTATAAAAATGTACGATTGGCTAGGTGCGGTGGCTCAAGCCTGTAATCTCAATACTTTGGGAGGCCGAAGTGGGATTGTATGAGCCCACGGTTTTGAGACCAGCCTGGGCAACTTCAAAAGACCTCATCTCTACAAACAAACAAAAAAAATTAGCCGAGCGTGGTAGCGCGCACCTGTAGTTCCGGCTATTTGGAAGGCTGAGGCGGAAGGATTGCCTGAACCCAGCAGGTTGACACTGAGGTGGCCATGAGCATGCCATTGCACTCCAGTCTGGGCAATGGAGTGAAACTCCAACTCAAAAAAAGAATGTATAATTGGTAAAGGTGTATTAAAATTGTTAAAATTGAAGTTTGGGGGAAGATGGCGGCCAAGCCAGTTGGACAATGTGAGTCCCTGTGTGTGTGAGTGAGTTTATGGAAAATATTGTGTACGTGCTGCTGAGTGAGTGGGTATGTGAGTGGTTGACTGAGTGAGGGCTAGGTGACTAGTGGCCAAGGCTCTCCTGGTGCAGTGGCTGGTGCCACAGTGGCTGGGCTTGAACCCTAGCGATTCCCGGGATGCAGAAGCTGAGCGCCATTTTCTTTTTCTTTTCTTTTTTTTTTTTTAATCAACAAACCCTCCCTGGGAAGAAAATGCTGGAGAGACTGTCTAAGTGGGGCTCATGAGCAAGTGGCCAGGTCCCTGGTGCAACAGCTGGTACTGCAGCTTCTCTCTGCTTCATCTCTGGCTCTTCCCAGGTCACAGAACGTGAGCGCCATTGTTTTTTTTTAAACACACAGAAGTTTTTGCTCAGTAAGTAGTGAGTGTTTTATGTGTATAAAAATAATATTAAAGAAAGTCTAAACATTACCAGGCAAGAAGAATCAATGGTTGGTTCTAATCATGTGCTCTAATGTTTAAAAGTTGATACTTTTAAGGAGAATTTTCTTCTATATAATTCAAAATTGTGTTCTTAAATACAAATATATTTACTCAGCAGACAAGAGCCAAACAATATACTAAAGAAAAAGCGGTGGGGAGAAACTATCGCCCCAGGCTCTCCTTCACCATTGAAGCAGGAGAGAGACTGCCGGCTCCTGGCTTTGCCTCACCACTTCAACACCTGGCAGGACTCTGGCAGGGGCTGCAGAGGGAGTCCAGAGGCAAGTTCCCATGGAAGAGGACAAGAGAGGCACCCCACCACCATCTTGAAGGTGGGGCAGGAAAGTACTTCAACTTGTTCACCATGGAGCAACAGACCCAATCTCTGTGACTGGCAGACCAACTACTCAGGGATTGATTGTGGCCCAGAAGGAATATCCTGAGAGCACAAACTTTCAGAGGGACCTGACGAGTGCTGAGTTCCAGGTGCCCCACCCCCTACCCTGATCCAGCTGCGGGACAAAGGGTGTGGCCAGAAAAGGATGAGGAAGAACTCCAAAGAGATCAGTGGTGAGTCCAGGGCTGACCCAAACCCCCTCCTCCCCAGCAATGCTCTGAACTTCAGACCCACACAGCTGGGCCATGACTGAGAGGGACAAACCCAGGCAGAACCTGGACATCAGAGGCAATAGAACTCCAATCCAGGATAGGCCTGACTGGGGCACCCCTGGTGAGAATACATACCTGGGGAAGAGATTATCTTGTACATCCCCACCAGAGATCTCCCTGACCATAGGAGAGTGGGAGGGGAGGCCTGCAGCCCCACCCATCTCCACTGTTCCTCCTCCTTCCCTGCTTCATTCCCTGAGGAGAGAGTGAAAGAGGTGGCTCTGCAGGAGAGACCTGATTAGAGGAACAATTCCAAGAACCTGCCACAAGAGGGCAGGATTTTTGTTGGTTGGCTGGTTTTTGTTTTTGAAATTTTCTTTTTCTTTTTTTTTCAAGGAGACATACATAATTTATTAAATTCATCATCATCATACAAAGAAAATGCCACAGAAAAAAATATCAGAATTGGAAGGGATATGGAGATCACCTGGTCCGATCCCCTCATTTAACAAATGAAGGAACTGCCTGAAGTCCCAGAACACCATTATGGACAAAGCCAGAATGCAAGCCCAGTCCCGACACACAGACTTGTTTAAGGCTTCTGGTTGAGAGCCACACAGAGCCTAAGGACTTGATCCATATTTATTTATTTATTTATTTATTTTATTTTTGAGTTGGAGTCTCACTCTGTCACCCAGACTGGACTAGAGTGGCCGCTCCCGGCCACCGCAGCCTCGACCTGCTGGGCTCCGGCGATCCTTCCGC